AAAATTTTGCACACACTACAACCAGATGCACACAATAAAAAACAGACACGGATGGGAGAGGCACTCGACTGGAGGACGGGCTCCTCTCTCATGTGCTCCTTGTAATGTTAGTCCTTAAACATGAGCCGGCCGTGCAGTCTGGGTGTACATCAGAGGGAGACGGTACTGGCTGAGAATGGGTTACCACTACTGTCATTTGGGTTTGTTTTAGTCGAACTGCAGGATGTTGATGCATGCTTAAAGTAAGTTGCATTTAGGGAAAGTAAAATAAAAGAAACAACACAGCAAACTGGCAGGACTGACCGATGTAAGAATAGGAGACGGACACTGTGTCCCAATCCCATAAAACAAACATGCAGTTAAAGTAACACTGTGTACTGGCACAAAACAATATCCTGATGCAACTTAATGAGGTTTCTATTCTTGTTTTTCAATGAGCTGTGAAACAGTGAAAATGTTCTCATTATGCAAACCGATTTGCTGGGAAATAGATTGTTAAAATTTATTATTTTCTGTGCAGACAGCAGTGTGCAATTGGGACACATGTTCACATGTAATAAGAGAAGTTGAACAAAACACACAAAACACATGTTTTTAATACCCTAATATTAAAATAAAACAGGAAATACTCTATTTATTTATTTTTTTAATTTAGAGGTAAAGCTGATTTCCAAAACATTTTAGATGTAACTCAGGATTTTAATGGACTCTTGCTTAATGAAACAAATATGAGAAAACTAATCTGAAATATGACGAAGACAGAAAAAGTTTGCTCACACTGGTGAGACAGTAATTGTACATCCCGCTTTGTAAGGACTCTTTGTCTTAGGAGTACAGTGCATCTGGAAAGTATTCACAATGCTTCACTTTTTCCACATTTTGTTGTGTTGAAGCCTTAGTTAAAAGTGTAATAAATGAATCTCTTTCCTCAAAATTATCCACGCAAATATCCCATTATGACAACGTGGAAAAAAGTGTCACAGGTTTTTTTTCATATTCATTAAAGTTTGAAAATCAATAAATCATATTAACTAAGTATTCACAGCCTATGTCAGGAAGCTCACAGTGGAACAGTGGATCGAGGATGACCAATTGAACTGTTTCCACTGAAAATCCTTGAGATGTTTCTACAACTCATACAGTATAAAGATAAAAAAAAATTACTTAAGTTGAACACAAATTCCTTCACTTGGATACAATTTACACCAAATAAATAACGAGTTATTCAAAGAGGAGGAAGTGGAAACAATGGTGTTGGAAACAACTAAGCTATTTAGAATGGTTTTTTTTCGTGTGGGTGTTTTTCCACTAACTTTTTGTTAGCTCATGGAACAGGATACATGATTTGGGTGCACAAAATACAACAAGACACCTTTTCAGTAATATTTTTGAAAGGTGGTGGAGGGGGCCATATCATTGAAGACTAGACTTTTTCTCAATCAAATATGTTCCTTTTGCAGTGCTTGTCTCTATTAAGATGTGTTACACATTTTTCTATTAATTAGGGTTAATGTTAATGTATACTTTTTGAGAAGATATTTTAATTTGTCTTACTAAATTGTTAGGGCTTGGAAATCTATCAGCAATTGAAGCAATACACATCTATGGTCCTACTGTGGGGGGTGAACTAATAGACCCAATAGCAACCATTCTTTGTTGGAGTGTTTTACATTATGTCGTTTCTATGTCAGAATAGATAAAAATAACTACTGGAAGAAAATGTCAAGGAGACCAGCTTTAAATCTGCTTTCTATTTCAACATATGTCACTATGCTCTTTAAGACATGTTTTAAGAAATTTAATTTAATTTCATAAGATGGCACATCTGACCATTATGTATTTGTGAGCAAGGGACAAAGTTAGCTATTTCTTCTACTGTTTTCTTCTGCTATTTTTTAAATGTGTATGTGCCATCACCAGATTTAACCTGACATACTGGACTTTGTATGACTGTCCAAGCTGCAACATTTAATGATTGATTGGGATGAACCTTCATTTCACTAAAAACACCCCAATCTCAACACTGGTCAAGTAACTATTTGCTGAATAAATCATGGAGAAGATTGCCATTCCACTACAGACTATTCAAGTGTTTGGCAATAGAAACAAGGTGGGAACTAATTTCTGTAACATGATTACAGAAATCGTGAAATATTAATGTCAAATAAACCGGAGTTAAAACGGTGCATTGTCTTTCATACCTGATTGTTCCTACATAATAATGTTATCCTACCCAAAATATTTATTGATAAATATTTTCCTTTCTTTTAAATGCACTGATATGACCTAAACATGTTGCCAGATTGTGGAAACATGATTGATTTTTATTACCGAGTAACAGTTTGCGAGGTGAGGTGTATCTTTATCACTAATAATGTTTGATAAAAATTTATCAAAGATCTCAATTTATTAAATGTGTATATGTGTATGTAGTTCATAAATAACTGAATGACCCATTTTCGTTGCCATCTTATAAAATTAAGCAGAAAAAAGAACAGAAAGGTTTACAACAGAGAACAGAATCACTTGATGAAGTATATAAACAAAAACTCACAGTCCTACTCACAAATAAAAAGCGTGGGATAAAACAGGCGATTTGATGACACTGCGACTGCAAAAATGGCTCACAACTTCAACACAAATGCAGATAAAACAACTGAGTTAAATGGATGAGCTGCCTGGTGTCGTGGGAATATCAAAAAACATGCAGTGAAATAAAAGATTCACCCTGAACAGACTGATTTGGTGATCTTCTGACTTAACAAAAAGTATTTCAATATGGGCTTTTTTTATGTTTAGAAAAAACCTAGAAACCGGAAGAAAAAATAATATGAGATGTGAAAGAAGGAGCCGATGTCTGGCTGTTCAGGGTGGACAGATAAATAGTAGATGAAAATGAAAATGTAATTTTATCTTTGAAAGCTGAACGGTAAGACACAAAGCCACACGACACACCAAGAGATGTGAGGAAACAGTTATAACCAACCAAAACATCATGCCACAGATGATGAGGCCAAAAGAATGCATTTTGGCACAGTTCGCGGAAAGACGGGAGTGAAATCTTGGCAACAAAACACCAGGAAATAGCATTGACTTCCCAACTGAAGAAAAAACAAAGTAAAAAAAAAACAAAAAAACTAAGGCATGCAGCTTTCAATCACGCTAACATGATGTTAGGGTTAGAATGGTGTGAATTTCTGTGTAAACACATGACTGGATGACTGGGGCCCTGTCTTTGTCTTTCTTCACAAATCCCCATGGATCTCAGGCTTCACAGCACCGTTTGAATCCCCTTTTACACCACAAGATCACAGTCTGTTTGAAAATATTTGGGAATGACCCTTTGACCTTTGGTGAAGTTAACTAACATATCACTTGATTTAAATATATCTTGGCAGTCTATCTGGCAATCTATTAAACCAAACATTTTTTTGGGGGGGGATTTGTCAAATATTTACTTAGCCTTATAAATCTAGAAGATCCATTTTATGCCAACTTTAAATGTTTGGGTTATGTACCAAATAAATGTTTGGTAGAGTTTTAAATTTAGAACTAAACATAAACGTATGAAACAATGGTTCAACTACAGATAATTTTCCACAAGAATTGTTCACTTATTGCAGAAAGCATAAAACTGTGCCCTAACTCCCAGGCCATGTTTGTTCCCATATAGGTAACTCTAAGCCTAAAACACAAATTTCAGGAATATAATCATATGGTTCTAGAAAACTTATGGAAAAGTCACCTGTGATTCATGGAAAGGAAACCGGTATATTCTGAGAAAGAAACCTGTAAGTTCAAGAAAACTTGCCATAAGCAGGTTCTATGAAAAATGCAAATTCTACAAAGGTAACCTGCAAGGTAGCAGTGACCTGCAAGTTCCTGAAAAAAATATTTGCATTTCCTGGAAAGGGAATTCAAAATTTCAGGAAAGTGAATTGAAAGTTGTGAGAAAATAACCTACAAAATTCAAAGGACCTATCTTTTAAGTTCCATAAAAATAACCCATTAGTTGCATTATAGCTATGGAAAAGTAAATTATCAAACAAAAAAATTCATGTAAAAATATTAGTTGTACCATGTACTATGGATGCAAAGTACTGGCAACAAACATATAGTTGTATGCTTTCTACAAGAAGGTTAGTTGTTACTTTTAGTTGTTTCATTGCAAAGGCTTTTTTTTATTTTAATCATTTGGCATTATCACTGAAATAGGTCAAAACTACACTTTTTTAATATCAGGGAGATTCCCAATTTTTTCAAATTGATTGATTAACTTAAATTATCAAAAATTTTGAATCTATTTGGATACAAAAAGACAGAATAATGAGTACACCTAAGAGCAAAAGTATGACCCAAAGAAAGAAAAACCTGTACACAGAAATTCAATGATATCTGTTCTCTATCACATTTACCAGTGCAAGCTTCTAAATGTGAAAAAACAAACAAATGAGAACAAAAAAGACTGACATTAAATCTGGAGACATTTCTCTATTTATCAATGGACATATTTTAAAATACAGTTCTTTAAATGAAAATCAAAAGAGCTGTGAACTGCAGGAGCGATGATCTAAAACATGATGAAACACATTTAGCAGCATCAGTGCAGAGAACATGGTTCACCTCCATACAAATTTGACAGATTTATTATGTGAATTCCACAAATGTTTTAACTCCTATTGTTCCTCTCAGCTGTCAACATTTGTATGTATTCTGGAAACCATGTTTACCACTTTAAAAGACCCCATGTGAAAGTGTAGCTCATTATATTATATCTAATGTCAGCTAGCATCACATTAATCTTCTTTTCAGCTTTCTTTTTGAATATTCCAGTTTTACCTGGAACAAATTCCTGTTACTACACTAGATGTTTTGCAACTAAAGCTGGCAAGCGCTTAAGTTACACTTTGTTTAACCATGGGGGGGTGATGCCTGGAGGATCATACGATCCTCTGCTGCAGATGAGTGTGCACAAAGAAAGCAAGCAAATGCAAACTAACCTAGCCCACCTGGATGGATTGTTTCACACTCCTCCAAGTCTTCGTCATCGCTTGAACACTCTGCAGAGGACACGATTTCCTCTGTCCCATGCTTCTTCATCAGACCATACAACAAAGCACATTCAGAGTGAGGAGAAAGCACAGAAAACAACAAACAGGGTGAACAGAGAAGTTTGGAGGTTTACTGATTGCCTCCCGTTGTCAATAACAGACCTTAGTGACTATTTATTAGTCATTTATAAATAACCATTAAATATTTAATAAGCATTGCTTAACATGGAGATAAGTCTATGTAGCAGATATAATTTTGGCTTGTAATCCGTATCTGGTATCTGAAATGTTTGTTTTATTTGGCAAAACAAATATGCCTTTGCAGTTTTAATGTCATTTTGACATTGTCTCCAGGTCATACAAAGTAAATTTATGCCACACAACTAGGTAAGCTAAGCGATGTCAAACTAATGTAAGCTAAATTAATACCATTTGTTTAAATCAACATTTGGTTGTACATCAGATTCTTCATTAAATATGTGTTTTAAGCTGATGCTGTTTTTTTACGTACTTATTGTTTTCCCTTTGTTAAATAAATCAGTGAAATGTGAAAACTGCCCTCAGCTTTAGTAAGACAAATGTGGACATGTCCATTTTCTGACTATTTAGTAATTACCTTGTTAGAGTTAAAATTGCTTTGTCAACCAGATTTATTTGTATCAATAATTTACAGGTCAGAGTTAAATGATCTAAGAAAACAAAAATATTCTCTAAAAACTTCTATAACTGGACTAAAAATAAGTGAAAAGGCATTCAAGGATACTGTTTATAAAAACTAAGAGACTTTTACAAAGCCTTGAGAACTAAGAGATCAAGAATCTGATGTACAACCAAATGTTGATTTAAACAAATGGTATTAATTTAGCTTACATTAGTTTGACATCGCTTAGCTTACCTTGGCCAATCTTATTTTATTTCTGTTAGTGTGCTGTGTAAGCCTTAGCTTTTATCTGGTCACTCACTGTGAATTGGGATCAAAAGAAAGTAAAAAAAAAAAAAAAGACATTGAGACATTGACAAAGTTTTGTTGACCATCCCACCTGTACCGTGGAGGATCTGTGTTTCCGTGTAGTTGTTGTTGTGGTCGTGGTGGTCGACTCTAAAACGTTGCTGGATAACTCTGGAGTCATGGTTGTGGTCCTGGCTGCACCTGCCACACTGGATCCATTCCCCACCAGCCTCACACTGCCATTAATCTTGATGTTGATATTGGCTTCAGCTGCCATTTTCAATACTTTCAGGCCGTTATAATATAGACCCGCCAGCTGACCCTGAAAAGGTCGGCCTCTGTCGCTGCCTCCTACTGTGATTGTTGCTTGAGTATTGAAAATTGTAAGCTGTCGTCCTAAAAAAAATGACATCCACAGCAAGAAACAATCATTAGCAATTACTTTTCAATAATTATACGTAAGTAATAGTAATTACAATTCATAGTTTATGGGATAATAATAGATCCTATATTATTGGCCCTTAATGCAATAAAAATAAATGAACTTGTCACCAAATCAATGCTATAGTCCACCAGTAAGCCATGTCACTCTTAAACTGCTGTAGAAATGAAAGGCAGAAGAAGACTATATGATGAGAAACTCAGCAGGCCAGGCTCTAAAGGTCATTAATATATCTATTTTTCTGTATCTGAAAATCAAGCTGTAAAATCAAGTTAATTGTATTTCTTTCAGTTAGGTGTGTTATAGCCTAGTTGAAGGCTGGGGTACAATTGTTAGCTATACATGTTGTATTGGCTCTGAATATACAACATGTATATTCAGTTTAAAGCTTTCTTGAATGACCTTTTCTCAAAAATTATAACTTTTTTTATCCATAAAAATATATTACTTCAACATATTTTGAAGTAATATATTTCAATATGTTACACACTTACATTCTTGTATTCCTTATAACTTATTATTTCAGGGTTATAACATTGAGATTATAATGTGAATTAACATATTTGTGGAACTAATAGAGCTACAAACAGACCAGCTGAAGTCAAGTTTCATTTCTACTAACATATCACCATCCATTGACTTCTGAAGACTAAAGTACATCTTATTGTCTTTTAATTAAGGCTGATGATGCTTTATTTCATATTATTAATTAATTTGTTAATATTTGTTTTGCTACCTCATACTTGTTCAGTTCTCATTTTCAGCCTATGATATGCTTTGTTACACAAATACAAATTTATATTAAATATGAATAGCAACATTTATGTTGGCACATAAGAACAATTGGGACTACGTCAAAATCTGCATTCTAAACACACAGCATATAAAGTGCTGAAACAAAGGCATGCTTTTAATACCACTATTTTATGCAACTAAGCATCAGCACAGTGGAGACAAACAGAAAGTTTTTATTTAAATTACCTTTCTCTTGTAGCCATTCTTCTACCGGTCTGACATATTTGAAAGGAATTTTCTTATTGGCCGTTTGATAGCGTTCAATGTCGCTGTTCCCTTTAAGGTTTAAGAAGACATTTATAAAAACATTTATTGATATCAGCATTGTGAAAAACTCAAGAACACTTTACATCAGGTTAAAATCATTTTAGCTGGAAGATTTGTTTTAAATTTGACCTTTTTTGCATAAAAAACAGTAAAACAGTTCTTATATGTTAGCTATGCAAGTAAGTTCTTCAATAATCATGCAATCTGTTTATACATTCTAAGACATTCGTGTGTCCAATAGCTAAAGCGAAGCTAAGGCTTCTGAGAGCTGATCACACATGAAGAAATGGAACCTGGTGTATTTTACTGAAAGGATGAACCAGGTTGATGGAAAAGGAAAGAAAATATAAAAAGCAACAGAGACCTTGGATGTGATTACTAAAATTCAGAGTTTCTTTTTTTGAACAAGAGCATGCATTGAGCCAAAACTTTAATTATGCTAATTTTTGAGGCAGATGCTATTCAGTGACTTATTTAAGGTGTGGCATGAAACAAAAAGGCTCCACTGCCTTTTTGGATCTCTTTAAGCAGTCTTTTATGCAGGTGAGAATTAACCATTATTTCTGTACCTGTAGGAAAGTGTTCATTGATTGACCAGTTATCCACCTGCAGCGTAGCATTCCCACCATTTCTGGTAAAACGAACCACATGATACTTCAAATCATTCACTGGGGTGCTGCTTTCTTGAACAGTGATGTCCTCAGTTCCAATGTTGAAGGTAACTCCAATCTTCCCTTGTTCCTGAAGCAAGAAAATACTATTGTTAAGGTACTGAGGTGTTGGGAGTTTTCTTTATTAATGTTCTGTTTGGTTGGGAATCAGTACTAAAATTTGAAGGTTCATTACTTCTGCAAGGATGATTTGCATATAATTTATAAAAGGAAGAGAGTTGAATCATAATTTAGGCTTGAGTTGAAGATGATGAAAGAGTAAACATTTACGATAAAAAACATCATTATGTTGAAGTACTTCATAAAGTAAAATGTTTCTGAAACACATCATTTTTAACTTGAAGAATCATTGTTGTTTTTTTTATTTTATTTTTTTTTATTATTATCAGAACTCACTAGAAAGCTTAAATTCAATATTTATATTTGGAAACATGACATCAACAACAAGACACATTCCAAAGGTAATCTTGTCAAAATTAAGAAAATAAATAAATGTATGACTTCTCTTGCAATTTGCATAAAAATGTAGTTAAAATGCCATCTTTCAATGGGCAGTTTTAATAATGGGCTGAATTAATATACCAGATGAAAACACGGAGAGGAAGAATGGATGGATGTTTATGATTACTCACTATATGCAGCATAAGATAGTCGCCCAGACCAGGCGCGCTATCAATTCTGACCAATATGCCATCTTTCAGGGATGTACTGAAGCCAACGGTCAGCCTGTCGGTTCTGGTGCTCGGTCTCTCATTAGCTGGCCAGTTGAATGTAATGAGCCCTCCGCCTTTGCCAAAGATGTACATGGTTCCAGCTTTGGAGAGCAGAAAATGAATTAGAATTTAGAAACCATCAGCAATGACAGAATAAGTAGCAAACTTGTCAATATAACTAAAGGAGTTCATGGCAACAGGCACCAAACAGGCACCAAGGTGCTGTTGTATCAAATGAGCAGACAATAAACCGAAACTAAGATAGATCCTTGACTTTCCTTATCCTAACAAAAATATCCCAAATGCCTGTGTGGTTTGTCCACTTCTATTTTCATGAAATTATTAAAGAGTCCCCCTTTGGAGAAAGTTAATTGAATGTGAATGTACGTGGACGTTTCAATAAACTATTTGGACCAGTTAGGGTTGGAGAATGAATGCATCTGTATTCAGATAATTGGACTGGGGTTGTTTGTGAGAACACTAATTTTCTGCAACTACCGACCAAACATAAAATACACAATCTGACATATGTGTGAACAAACACACAGGCTAGCTAATGCTAATGAGCAGGCTCAGGCAGAGGAGGTCTTGGCTCTGGCTGATAATGCTTGTCACAAAAGCACTTTGTTGGCTGAGCCAGAATCCCTCCACCCCTTCTCTCCACAAGCTGTTTTAGTCTGTCCAAATTAGTCACCTGATAATAACACTGCAGTTTTCTCTATGCCTGCTGAAGAATTAGAAAAACTCTCATTCAGCACCTAAAAGAATATGCTAATACAGAATAAGGGAGGACACTTCAAGTGTGTTTCCAAATAATTCCTCACTTGTTTATTCTGCTTCTAACCTAAAAGGGAGATGTAAAGATTTGTTTGTTTTTTTTTCTGTGGAGATTCACTGAAGAATGAAATATTTACTGGGAGTCGGTTGTTTTAGAGTCATGGTCAGAGATCATATTGCAAATACAAATCAGATAGCAAGCTGAACAAAAGTAATGAAAGTGGGTGCATTTTCCTGCAAGAACTAATGCATATGTTTGCACATCAAAGAAGACTATAGAGTAATAATGAGGTTCTGAGGAAATTTTTTATAAACTATTCAAGGAACTTGCATAAAAGTGCAGTTTTCAAACTCAATACCTAAATCAAGGTTCCAGATTATTTTTTGAGAATTTGGGAGGAGGGCATCTGGGAAGAGTGCTGTTTTTTTTTTTTTTTTTTCTGAAAAACAAACATTTATATGCCATGTTACTTTGGCTTGATGGCAGTAAATAGTCAAAGCAGAATTTTGTATGAGCTGCACTGTGTTATGGATGGTTGGTACTATACAGTAATGAACAGAGGCCAATATGGTCAATGTTCTTCATCATTTTATCACAAAAGAATAAAGTTTGTTTTCTAAAAATGGCTAGTTAAAGCATTTTAAATTGCAGGTAAACCAAGGTACTACTAGCATAGCTATTGCCTTCCTGTGCAATTGTGCTCACAAAAAAAAAAAAAAAAAAAAAAAAAAAAAAAAAAAAAGAAAAATTTCTGAGCTTTCTCCTCTTGTCTTGGATTGTCTCTGGCAGATTTTTTATCATCAGAGAACCCAAGGAGCTTTAAATCTTAAACCAAAACCATGAGAGATAGCGTGGCTCTTTATATGAGCTGAAAACCATCCATCATCAGTGTCATAATTTCAAATTATTATCTAGTGTCATGACAGCAAAGTAAACCAAAATAAACTTTCCTTAAAAAACAAATATGAGTGACACATTTTCTGGTGATAATGGGAATGAAGAAAATATATTTAATAGTTTATAAGTCTATTAATTTTCATTGAAACAGAACATTTGATTTCATCATGTGTCTGGTGAAATGCTCTTTAGCTTTCATATATTAATAGTTGTAGGTATTTAGTATGGCTGTATTTTAATATTTAAACCAATTATTGATCTTTAAATCTTAAAAGCTGCGCAAAATAAATATTTTGAGACCCTGTCATCCATTACACCTGTCCATTGTACCTTGTAGCAACTGACCTTGGCCAGTGTCCTTGGCCCACATGCTGAAATCTTTCCTTTACATTAACCAATTTGCCAACCTACTTAATCGTTTAATCTTATATGCTCTATTGCCCACCTGCACTTAGACCTATCTGAACAAAAATGGTGTGCAACTCTAACAGGCTTGTGATAATATCAAGGGCTAAATGTCTTCTGGTTTGGCAAGGCCCTTCTTGGAAGAGGATATGCGGTAATGATTGTCTAAAAGTATGGCATTGCATTCAGGGCCATTGTGTAATTGTGTAATGGGCACCAGTAAGTGAGTGGCCGGTGCAGAAAAATTAGAAAGAGACTATTCACTTGTATTAGCATTGAACAAGTCAGTGAACAGCATTCTGAGGTCAGTCACCCACTGGATTGCCTATGTCCTCTGCTGTCCATTAGCCTGTATAAACTACCATTAGCAACATCGGATCAAGCATTAACATGTGTACACAGTACTGTATTTTACAGAGCTGAAGTTGGCTTCGGGAAAAGGCTAAAGCTGATTCCATCTAGTTTTTCACTATCCTTGTGAAAAACTAGATGCAATCTGTCCAAGTTCACAAACTCAATACATAGACCATTCAAACCTGAACCAGATTATCCAACATTAATCACTGAATATTTGAAACCCAGTACATTTCTAATAAAGTAGATAACCATCATAATTATGGTAGTTGTTAGTCTTTCTGTCAGTCTATCCGCATTAATGGACATCAGAGGACGTAGTCACAATTACTGTTTTCTTTAAAATTCTGGTGTTTTCAAAAGAGAAATAAAACCAAATATTTGTTTGAACCGTAATACAACTATACCGCTATATGTATCAGTGTTGTTAATGTGGTTGTGTGAAAGATGGGTTTACAAAACACTTTCTAAAGCTTTCAATAGAACCTGTCTCAGTCAGATTTAACTATTTCAAAGTCAAAATATTGGAGAACTTCATTAATAGATTTATCCTAGATAGGTTTAGCGTTTTAGCAAAACAAATTACAAGCTTTACAAACCTTAAGACAGGCCAGTTTCAAGTGTTGCCTGATGCATACTGCTGTAAGGATCTTGCGTAAAGAAAAAAATATTTAATATTTTGGCTCGTAAGCCCTAATTAATCAAGACCTAATTTAATTAAATAAAACAACTGTAAAAAAACCCAAAAAACTTAAAGCTCATCAGCTCCCCCTACTGTAAGTCTCTAAAACATTGTACTGAGGACAGGAATGCAGAATACAAGTTTTGGAGAAACATCCTTGAACAACACTTCTTAATTTAGCAAAACCAACACTGACAAAAGTCTGCGTTGCAGCATCTCACCAGCTTGCAAGTAACAAGTTAAACAATGCAGCTATTGAGCATCTTTCTTTTTCAAAACCAAGCATAAAACCCCAAACAGACCTGCTATTTTTCTACATTATTGGACCCGAGATGGATAAGAAGTTGCAAGAGTAACATCTTCCAAGCTTTACAGTTCTTGAAGTTTTACCACTTACCATGAGCACCCTTCAGATTTGCTGGAAAGCCGTAAATGGATACAGCCTGAGAGGAGCGATGCCTCCCCACATACAGTTGTTGATTGAATGGGTCTGTTGCCACTCGAGGTCTGTGGTTATGGGATGAGCTCTGCTCTGCAGAAGCAGCACTACATCCTAAAATAAGCCACCAAATACAAGCACTATGGTAGAGGACAGTCAGTCCAGGAAATTGACAGGAACTCCTTTTCTTAGGACCCCGTAGTGGTAGAGAACCAATGGGACACATGATGATGAATATTTAAAAAGTCACACTGTAAGCCAGAATACTGCAATGAAATAATCTCATGTTGAAGCAAATAAAGCTGATTAGGAGTCGATGAGCTACCAGTAATTCCAACAGTCCTGACTTTTCATGTCAGGGTTCATTAAACTTGGTCAACTAAAGTAACAGAAGCATCCACTTGAGAAGAGTATATGCTGCTCTGAAACACACAATGAATGGCCCATAAAAAGTCAGGATGGATCAACACTTCATGCATCCTCCTCTGTTTGAAAGCTGTGGTTTCGCTGGTGCTCCTGACTGGATGCTCCAAAAGTACTTCTCTATTCTCACATCATCTTTCCATTCACTCCTAGAAAAATATCTTGAGGAATCCTTAGAAAGTAGATCACAAAATGAGTAACCCATTCGTAAACCTGAATTCTGTAAATCCACTGGAGTTTTTACTTTATCATGTTCCTCTTGTTTCTTCCTCTTTTTAATTCCAAAAGGGTTAAAATATCTCCTAAAGCACCTTATCTCAGTGACAGTAAAACTCCTTTTCTGTTTGTCGTCCAAATCCATGTAGAGCCTTCATTTGATGTATGCGCTCAGTCTGGACACTCTGGCTGTTTAACGAAGGGAACAGCAATGAACTGGATTCCATAGCTGCCACGGGATGAAAGAGAGGGAGTGCGGAGTGCAGAGGAGAGAAGAGGAGGAGGGGTTGGACGGTTACTGAGGAGGTGCTGAGAGAAATGACAGAGGTAAAAGAAAGGTAAAAGAGTGACTTCAAGGATGAAGGAATGTGGAGACAAATCCAGGATGCAAAGACGAGAACTCGAGACAAAACAACAAAGGCATAGTTTCTTTACTCTGAGCCAATATTGGAAAAAGGACAGATATGATTATCCTCAAAGAGCAAACCAGAGGATGAAAAAAAAATATATTTTTTTTTCTTGTCTCTTTTGAATGCAAATGATGGACCCTAAGGAATAAAATCACTCTTTTTAGCTGAATGGTCAAAAGAGTTTCTTGCTTCTTTTCCAAAATTTATAGCAATTTGTCAGGAAGAGAATAAAATAGAATCCTGATTTGTTCAACCACATTACCCAAAATTGCCCATCTGCAATTGGACTTTTATAAGCCTGGGGCAGCATTACAGATGAGGGATTATTGCTTTTCAAATTGATTGACTTATATTATGCTATAAATCCATCAATACATCTATCCATATTATCCTTTAAGGATCGGGGTGAGAAGCTAAGATAAGTTATGGGGTGATGTAGATGATATGTCAGCTGAGGCAGGGCTGACCTGTGTTCGGCAGGCAGACTGCGCCGGGGA